TTATCTTGCTTAAACAATGGCCTTAAACCCAACCATAAATCTGAGGAAAAATACCTTAGAAACTTAACATATCTAGTGAATTATGGTTGAAATTTCGTGGCTTAAAACCTCACTGAATGGGCTACACAAATTCATGAACTTCAGCCACATTTACACTTCATGCATTATTGCATGCAACTTTTCTTAAATTGTTTGAAATCATTACCCTCATTTCTCTTCTGAATACATTTTTTTACATTTTTCCTTTTGAAAGCCCTTGCATGCATGAGATAATCTGGAAAATTTCAAGAGCTTTTGTTATTTCTTTGATTTATTAGAATTATTGCTAAAACCAAGGGCATAAATCATATAAAATACTTCCAGAGGTCAATAAATCCTAAATAAATTCATGGATGATCCTTATGGGGAATAATGATCCCTCACCAAATTTCAGCAATTTTTGTTATTGTTTCATATGATTTCTAATTTTCTTTTATTTAGGACATGATAAATTACAAAACCACTTTATAGGATGTGAAAATTGTATCTAACAATTTTCGCATACCTTACCTGTGATGGGTGACTCCAGAAAATAATTTCAAGATTTTCCATCATGTTTTACTATTTTTCCCAATTTTTGGTAATTATAATGGTCTAAAAATGGGAGAAATAGTTCTGATTATCCAAAATTCATGAAAATTTACCAGGATATAATATTATAGAGTAGGAGGTTACATAAAAATTTTGAATATTTTTCTCTGCTGTAAACTATTTTTCTCTTATTTTCTAAAGTTAATTGCACTAAAATACACTTAAATATACATAAATACCCAAAACTAGTTTATACATTATGAAAACCACTTTTGATATTTTTCCCAGGATATTTATACTGTAAATGATGTTACAAAAATTTATGGTGATTTATTTTAACTGTTTAATATTATTTCTTTAATTAATGACTATTTAAAGGAATAAAGCAAGGAAAAATAGAAATACCCACTGGAAAATATCTTTTATATTTTTCCCAGCCTATTTATGTATAATAACAATTAAATAAAAAGTTTGGGTAATTTTGGAAACTGTTTTCTATTTATTTCAATTTTTATTGAAATAAATGCTCAAAAATCATAAAATATAATTAAACAGCTTGGAAATCCATTTTTATAATTTTCGCAGCTTAGTATTGTGTAATAACAGTTAAATAAAAAGTTTGAGAATTTTTATCCCTCGAATGCTATTTTCGTGAATTTATGTTGTAATAAGGACTTAAAAATTTGGAAAGTTTATATTCCAAGGTTGTAATTAATCGCCCGATATATAGAATTTCATTACTTCAGAAAAAGTGTAACTAATTGATATAAAATCCAATACTAAAACATAAATTGGCATTTCCCTATATGTAGAGTTTAGTATATTAGCATTAGATATCGACATGGAAACTCACTAGTGCGTGTGTTTGATATCGTAGGATCCCGGTAGTAAGACGTTGGTGCATCCCGAAGTACCGCTTGTGTCTACACAAAACATCGTGAGTATTCACGCACTCCCCTATTTTTGGTTTTTATGTTTTGGGGTGGAAAAGCATGTCCAAAAAACTACTGTTTGCATGTTGTATTTAAATTGAATTGTATCAAACATGATTGTTATTGTATTGCTATGTTTCTTTATGTATGTCTATGCAACACGGAACATGAGAACTTATCGTACTAAGGCCCTTCCCTTATCTCTAACCATTAACTCTTTGAGCCAATGGTCGTTATGGATAGCGCTATTAGGAATTGACAACTCCTCACTCGCCCGAATCGCTGGAGTGCATGATACCATATTCATCTATGGAACGATAAGCATAGATCTCGATAGGGCTTCAGTCATAGGTTTGGTTGAGACTCATTGTTTGCTCATACACATACAAACTCGTTTCTCGTTATAGCAATAAACTTGTATTCATTAATAGCAATCAACTTGTTTATCATTGAAGCAATGTACTTGTATTTACGAAAAGCCTTATTGTACGCTCGATTTTTATAAACTTGTGATACTCACCAACTATTTTCATAGTTGACGCTCGTTTTACATGCTTTTTCAGGAAGTAATTAGTAAGTGGATGTAAAGATTCATCATCATAGAGCATGCTGCATCGTGTTGAAGCTATTACGAAGCTATATTTTGAACAATGTTATTTTGAAAAACTTGTATTTTGTTTCTTTTGAAGCTATGGGTTGTAAACTTTTAAATACTGCTATGGTGATGTATCTTTATCTTTTGCATTGAAACCGTTATCGCTGTCATACCTTGCGTTTCCGCTTTAGCGGGGTGTGTTCGACAGGGACGTCGAACCCTATAATGGGGGGTGAAGGTGGGTTGCACCTGATCCTACATCGGCTTGGAAGGAGAACAAAACATCTCCTTATAAGGGGTGTGGATACCTTCCTTGTCACAACGCGTTTTAAAGCCGTGAGGGCAGCAGATCCCATAAGAACTCTGCAGTTAAGCGTGCTCGGGCGGGAGTAGTACCGGGATGGGTGACCCCCTGGGAAGTCCTCGTGCCGAGTGGCCCAAAGCGGACAATATTGTGATACGTGCCAGAGGGGGTGTTACAGCCATGGGAAGAGTGTCAGTGGTAGAAAAATCCATGAGAAAAGATAACATATTTGAGTAAAATTCTGGTTAAAAGTGAGAAAGTTGATTAAAGACTGATTGATGAGAAGGGTTTAGCGATGCAAAATGTAATTAATAATTAAGCAGAGGGAGGGAGATGCGACCAGAAGTGAGGAAGGTGAAAATCAACGATTAATTCCTAACCAAGATTAGGTCGTCTGATACCATATTGGAGTTTGAGAAAAAACCACACTTCACATGCTGTGGTTATATATATATATTACAACCTAATAAAGACGAAATAATAATTTACAATATACAACACAAACTACTATTTTTGTTTATTTTTGATAGCTATAATAAGAAATCAATGAAAGTATGTTGTTGTATCTCCAATGTAATCCTAATAATTATTAGATTTTTTTTTGTTATTACAAAGAGAAGAACATTGCCATTCTTTATGTCACTTACGCCTATATTGGTGTATTTAATAAAATGACAATCTGCCTAGACATGAAAATGTTAACCTTTTAAGGGCTTTAATCTCTACATGACATGTTCAAAATTTTTACAGACTTCATCACTATGGTCTTGCAGACCTTTAAAACTATCATGCTTATAAAAATTGATTAATGTAGGATGATTTATACAACTTATTTCCAGGTGTATTTTTAACACCCATTTTGCATGTTTAATTGCATCCTTTCATTGCATTTTACTTCCTAGTTCGAGTATTAAGAAGGAAATCTAGAACAGAAAGCATTAAGAACACAGATGTAAATAAATTCTATTTGGCTTGTTGATTACATATGAACAATACAAGAACACAAGAGAGTAAAAGCACTAAAGCTCTAAAATTTTCCTCTCGACTCCTTTACTTACCTTGTTTATAGGGTGATACAGAATCGAACAAAAAGTATTTAAGGGCTAAACATTTAAGCTTCGACCTCTAAATTTGACATATATATACATACACCCATGCCTAAATTTACTTCGACACCTCACTATATATTTCAAACCTTACAATTTCCCCTTTATAGAGAAGTGTCGAATTCATGTCATCGTCATCTTCATGGCCTGGTGATGTACTCGACGGACCTCCGTAAACCATATGACCGTCTTTCAGATTTCAGCTTTATCTTCTGTAGTATTCTTCTTGTAATTGCCAAGATGAACTAAGAGACAAGTATATTGAGAGTTCGTATACCTATCCACATCAAAAACTTGGAACAAAAATTTTGTCATCTTCCTATTCTTATTCTTTCCAAGAAAGACAACTCCCAAAGGTTTGTGAACAATCTCCCCATCAACATAGTCCTTGACACTAACCTGCATTTTCATCTTTGACTGAGGCACCTTTGAATTCCTATTCACCGCCAATGCAAGCTCGATATCTATCACAAACAAGAAATCATAGTAGTTATTTATGAATACTTTGATATGAGCAAACCCTATCATGAAATCGTCCTTGTTGTTTACATGAAGCTTTGAAACATCAATTGTACTCAATATCTTCGTCATGTTCAATTTCATCAGAGGAAAGTCCATAATTGAGAAAACACAAGCAACAATATTCGCTTTAACCACATAGTAGCGAAAATTCTACAATAACCCTTCAAACAAACCTTCTCTTGATATCTTCATCACTTTAACAATATTAACCGAAGACCAAACTTCCTCTTCCTTCTTCCCCAAAACTGCATGGAATCTCATCTTTAATCTATTATACTCATTTTTGTCTTCGAAGTGATCAACCAGCTGATGCTGTGCAGACACAAACATCATGTGATTTATTGAAAAATCCAATTGACTGAAATAAAAAATTTCAATATCATAACTTTTCTTTGGAAAATTTCCAAAATAATGCATCTCTCCTAATGAAATGAATTGTTAGATTGTCTCATAACACCAATGTTTACTGGGATCACCTTTGTTTAGACATGGTGGATCACATTGTCATTGTCTTAAAATGTTGTTTATCTGTCTTTGCCTCTCTATTTCCTTCTCCGCATTTTTCTTTTTCTCTTCTTCAGAAATCACTTTCTCATCAATACCCTTCTCCTTGTCACCTTTATCATCCTTAGAAAGAGGTAGCTTTGAACTCAAACTTGATCACCAACACTTTCTCCAATAACAATGCCTTTTGTTATTGGTATCGAAGTCAATGTTGTAGAAGTCGTTGTTAGAGAAACAGGAAGTGATGTCGAAAGTTGAATTGATATCACCTTCGCTATCACTTTACCCTCATCAGTGCCTTTCGAAGGGCCAACACCTTTTTCTCCCCTTTGCACCACATGTTTTGTAGATGGGGCATTTTTTGGCAACAAAAGAACCAACTTAAGAAAAGGAGCGAGTTTATGTTGAGGAGCAAGTTCTGCTTTGAGATTCGTTTCAAGAGAATAAATCATCTTCAAGATAGTTTCCTAAGGGACAAAAGATTGTTGAGAAAGATCAACCTTCGACATAGACTCTTTTAAGCTTCCCAAAAACTCATCCAACTTTTCAAACACTTTAGAATCTTTATCTGACTTGGCATCAAAATTGATTGAGAATGAAGTGTTATACTCCACAAGCTTCGTGATCGCATCAGCAATGGCATCAACCTTATCATGAAGAATAGAGTAATTCTTCTCAATATTTTCCACCTCCTTTGTTATCTCTGACTTCAGCTCAACAACCTTGATGTTTACAGAGTCCTTGACCTTATTGACTTGCTCAACAAAAATCTTATGCCGTTCTCACTACTAGAAAACAACCCTTTAATGATGCGCAAACAATGATACACACTGATAGAGGACATGAATTTGTGTGTGCCCTAAAAATAATGTCAGTTTTGCAAAATTTGAAAGATGGAGGACACGCATTTATGCGTGACCTAAAATTAGTGTCAGAAAAGAAAAAAAAGGAAATACGGAGGGCGCCTTTCACAAAATGTGTGTCATCTAAGTGTGTCGCTTTATAATTTTTTAATGAAACAAATGTTTTAAGATGGGATTTCACCCGCCTGTTGGATCCAAAAAATTAAAACCCCCGCCTCTTCCAATTAGCAAGAAAAAGCCCTAGGGTCTTCGTCTTCATACCAGAATTGCTCTTGCTTTCGTGATCAAATGCCTCCCGACGACGATGATAACGATCACCGTCTTGGCGGAGTCACTCCAACAAAGTTCGCTCAAGTTCCCTCAAGTCATCCTCACATCTGCTTCTTTTGATTCACATCTCTGGTATCGAATTGGTCAGGTTAGTCTTCCATTCTTATTGATGATCTAGGTTTTCTTTTTCTTTTTTTTTTGATTTCATGTTCATTTATAGTTATCAGTCAACAATTAAGCAACATTCTGTTCTACTTTAGTTTAGATCAATATTTCACTACAATTCTCTGAGACAAATTGTGAGCGAACCTAGGGTTTTTATTTATCATACTCCAACGACACAAATCAACACCTCTCGGAAAACCCATTCTTAATAGACGCCTTACAACAAGAGAAAGAAAACTTTCACTTCTTGAAGATGTACGCCATTCATCTCTCTCCCTCTCTATATCTCACTCTCTCTCTCTCTCTCTCTATATATATATATATATATATATATCTTTCTCTCTCTCTCTCTCTCTCTCTATCTCTCTCTTTCTCTCTCTCTCTCTCTCTCTCTCTCTCTCTCTCCCTTTACACACATAATCTCATTCCTTGCTTGAAGATTAATTAATTTCGATCCTTTCTGGGGTGAAATTATCGCATTTATAGGTGGATAAACTAAAGAAAAAGTTAAGACAAGAAGAAAACATACACAAAAAAACTTGAAAGAGCTTTCAGTCAACGTTTTGGAATTTTACCTCATCCCCCTCCATATCTTCCTCCATAGGTTTCTACTTTAATCCCAATCCATCTTTATCTCTTCATTTTTCTTCCTAATCGAATAAAATTAGCTCCAAATCTTTCTTTAAATTCATCATGTTTCAAAGGATTTACGCACTTTCTCGCAAAGCTTTAAGCTTAAATTCATCATGTTTCAGTGAAGAAATCTCCTCAAAGAGACTCCTCCCTCCATTCACAGATAATTTAGAAGAAGCAAAAGTTCTAAGTAATATTAATTCCATCATCCAAAACAATAATGGTGAAGATCATGTAGTGGATCATAAGACAATATCAAAGTGGGCTAGAAAGGTTAATCTATTTCACATTAGGTTAAAGGAATGAGGAATATAAAGAAAAGAAAAGAAGAAATGTACTCCATTATGTCTGTTTTTGATGCTCTATGTATTGGTTGCTTGGGTTTCTCTTGTTGGGTAAAGATGTTATCTCATTCTTTCATAGTTCTTTCCAGTGTGGACACCATTTTCTTATTATATGCATACCAAATTGTCAATATTCATGGCACTCCATTCTGTCTGTAATCCAACTTCTTGAATGCCTCTCCTGATCACCACATAAAGCATATGTCTATTAAATAAATATACATGTGGCTGCTCAATTGATATCTCTGGCTATTGCTCCATTTGAAATCTTTCTTGATCAACATAATAATCTTATAACACACATTTGTTTTCCAACTCACTTGTCAAAGCTTCAGAACACAGTAGGATTTATTGAATTTCTTTTTTGAAATCTGATTATGATCATGTTTTCGATTCCAGGGTAAATAATTTGATGTAGATTCACTCAAGAAAATGTTAAGAGATTATTATTTGGCCAAATAGCTAGCTATTAAAGGTTCTTTCACATACCAATATAATCTTAACTGTCTAAACAAGACTAAATGACCATTTTACCCTTTAAAAAGTAAATTTCATATTATTCATTAATTTTATAGAAGCATGGTAACAGTGAGTGTCAACTATTCTTTGCCTCCTATATTTATTTGTGCAGGTGAACACATCTACAACTCATAGCAATACAGGTTTGTATGCACTTCATTTTCCAATCGATGATTTCAGGAAAATCTTATGATTATGGGAAAACAGTGTCATATGTAACTAAAAAGTACATCATAGTGTAAACATATAACATCAAGTCAAAAACTAAACCAATAAGTGGATTTTTTTTCCCTTGACTAGATGCTAATTCTATTGGTGGACATGTTTCCCATAATGTAGTCCTTAGGAAATTTGGTGGTAGGGATCAAAATGAAGGTGGTAGTCCAGATATAACTCAGGTATGTTTCTCTTCTCCAATGGCCTTTAGTAAATGTTGTCTAAAAAGCCAGCATTGATCTTTTTGTTTTTTCAATTGTTATAGTTGATGAATATTGTTTGTTGGGCGTGTAAGGGTAAAATGGTCATTATTTTTTGTATTCTAGGTGATTGGGGCAGTTTTGAATTCCTTTGGGGTAGGGGCCAAAGTCAAACCCCCATTGGTGTATCACCACGAAATATACAGGTGACACTTGCTCCTTAATTTTTTTTTTGTTTCATTGTGTGCTACACCTCTTGTATTTCTATTTTTTTTATTATTGATAAAAATCTTTCTTAATGATTTTGTCTACTTATTTACAGTTGAGCATTCACATTCAAGTTACCCAAGGAAATGAAAGAAATCCAAGTCCTAAGCAATCACTAGCACATGTACCCACAATTGCTTCAGTAAAACATCATCTTTCAAATTTTTTACTTTAATCATCCAAATCCAAAATTTTATTTTTCTATTTTCCATACAACCTTACTTTGTGCTCTTGGATTGTTTTTGTAGCCAATTCCTGATTCTTTGAAAATAATTTCCGAGTTTATGAACCATATGGAGCAAGCACTATCAGAAAATGGTACATAATAACTCAAGAATTATTTTGTTAATATTACATAAATATTCCTTGTTAATTATTTGCATGATTTATTTGATATTTTACAGGGAATCACCCATCAGATAGTAATGCAGCAGAATTGCCTTCTAATGCTCGTGGCTTACCATCACCATCAGCTTTGGAAGTTGTTATGAGACATGCACAATGTCTTCTGAGTGGACATGTTGTTCTTTCTTTATCTGTATTTATCTCTCTATTCTATGTTTTTTATATTCTTACATAAATTCTTATTATATCATGTTTCTGATGGTTTATCAACTAAAATTGTCCTTATAGAAAACAGCAACACATCAGGAGGAAGAGGAAGGTTGTACTGATGATGTCACAGCGAGAACCCAAATCCAATTAGAAGCCATGCAGTATGGCTTGCAATACAACATTTATGTGCTCTTTTTCTAGAGCTTGGTCGTACAATGCTCACATTGCATATTGGAGAGTCTCCCATATGTTTTTTTTTTCTTTGCACTACAATAGTTACATATAAGTATTGTCATTTAGTCATGTACAATTGAACTGATTAAGCTCAACATTTCAGGCTGAATCTTCTGTAAACGTTGGGCCAGCTGTTTATATATCTCCATCAGGTCGTAATCCTATAATGGTTCAGGTTTGTGGTCAACTCTCACTATATACACACACTTATAAAATTTAAAAAAGAAGCTTTTTAAAGAGGTTAAGTGGAGACGGTAACAATATGTATGTTTCTTTAATGAAGAATGAATCCACAATCTTTTTGCAGCCCTTTCCTCTACAAACTAATTCTCTTTTTGATAGTTAAGTGGAGAATATTTTTAAAGAGGTTAAGTGGAGAAGCAAATGTTGATCTTCTAATGTTGTTCTTTTACAGGTGGTTGGAATTGGACCTAAAGTTGGTTGATGGTATAGGAATAGTGGATGCTCCAAATGCAGGAAAAAGCATGTTTTAAGTGTTATTAGTGTTGACATGTAGTGTTGTTTGACATGTAATGTTAGGTAACTTGTTTGACATGTGATATTTTTATGAAATGAATTGTCATTCTTATGTATGGTATTTTTATTTTGTATTATGAAAATTTCAATTTTTTGTTTAATTTAAAAATTAGTAATTCTATCATATATATATATATATATATATATATATATATATATATATATATATATATATATATATATATATATATATATATATAACATTTAAAATTATGACACGCAAATACGTGTCATCTTCATTTATGACAGGGGCTTTAATGATATGCAATGTGTGTCCTAAACGCGCGTCTTAAGGTTACGACACCCAAATGTGTGTCGTCTTCCTTTATGACAGGGCCTTCCTTGATACACATTGCGTGTCGTAACTGCAAGTCGTAAATTCATGTCGTAAATGCGTGTCATAAATACGCGTCGTAAATGCGCATCATAAATAGACGACGTGCAAAAGCGTGTCATCTCTCGTTATGACAGGGCCTTCCTTGACACGCATTTGCACGTCATCTGAGCATTTTACGACACGCATTGAACGTTGTAAAATGTTGTTTTTCTAACAGTGTTTTTGCAACATCACAAAATTTTGTAACCTCGTATTCAAAATTCTGAGCATGATGCTTTAAATGCTCTTCATGTTTCTTCTCAATCTGCTCCATATCCAGCATTAGTCCATTCTCCTATTACTTGAGCATGATATTGTTGGATTAGTGTCTAAGTCCATAACTATATTTGGTATGTACTTGACCTGATTGAGCATGGTCCTTTTAGGTTGCCTTCACCAAAGCAACTTGACAGGAATGATTTATGGAGAAAGAGGATATTATGGTTTATTAATATATTATTAGAATAATATATTAAAAGAGAAATTATATTAATTAGTTAATTAATGTTGGTTAAATAATTAATTAAGAATTAATTATTGTGACTAAAAGAGATTAATTAATTAAAGGGGACTAGATTGAAATTATTGGATAATTGAACAATGGGATGTGAATCTCCTTGGATTATAGTATGGACGAAAATAAGAGGGAAGCCCATCTCATTTTCGTCCAAGGCCTAGATTCTAGAAGATTTATTGGACTGCTTAAGGCCTAAGCTATCCAATTAGAGTTTTGACAGAAACCCTAGCAGCACAAGTATATAAAGACCCCTAGAGCTTTAGAAATCTGCTACCCTTGCCTCTAAGAGTTCTAGAGCCGATTTTCAAGAGCCTACATTCCTTCTTCAAGATCATTCAATTGCTTGTGGTGTTTGTAAGCCATTAGAGGTGTTACATTTGTGACACTAAGCTCGAAAGTTTGAAGATTCAAGATCTTTGCTACACAACAAGAGGTAACATTCTTATTTGATTAATTATGTAGATCTTAAGTTTTTGTAGTATGCTAGATTAGGGTATTCAAGTCTTGGATAAATTGCATGTACAATATAGAAACCTAGATCCAAGCATTAGGGTTTTTGCATGAGCACATAAGATTGTTCTTTTGTGTAAAACTCCTCAGTGGTATCAGAGCCTTGATTGGGTTCTATTGTATTTGATGCCTTGTATGTTCATCTTTCTTGCAAAATCTATTTTTTGGTACTCTGCCTGACATACTCGACGAGTCACTTGCTGGAATCGGCGAGTCAGCCCAACTCGGCATGTCCGGACGTCAGACAGAGGGAATTTCGGGATTTTATACCTATATTGCTATGGAATAATTGCCAAAACATTTTTAATTGATAAAAGACAAATTTTATTGATATTGTGTGATTATCCTTGTCAAAATAAAAGATAATTTCAAATCAATTGAATAATTATTTCCTTATATGATAAAAATTGATTATTTGAATTATTTGATGAATTATCTTGCATAAAATTGGACTAGGTCAAAATTAGGTAACCACCAATTAATTTTTTAATTGTATTATTTGAATTTTGATGTAGAATGTTCCTGATAAAGTTTTGAAAAGTTTCAGAACTTGTCCTCAAGTTTTGAAATTTAAATTTTTGATTAAAAGTTTAATTTTGAATTATTTAAATTTCAAACCCTAGAATTTTACAAGTTTAAAATTCAATCCTTATACTATATTATAATATTATAAGACTAATAATATATATATATA